CCCCCCCCCCCCCCCTCTCTCTCTCTCTCTCTCTCTCTCTCTCTCTCTCAAGCCTTGTATCACTCTACCTCACTGTCTCTCTTCCTAGGATCGTGCCCTGGATACACCCGCTCTGATCAGACTCCAGCCTTGGCGGCTATGGCCGCCCTGCTTCCCTATCACTACCCTAGCAATGGTTCCCTTCGGCGCTCCCTTCTCCTTCGAGCGCGATCTTGCCCAAGTCGCTTGGTCACACAAGCAGCAGTGGCGCTTCCGCAACTTCACGAATAAACAACTGTGTCCCGTCGCTGCACTGTAGCAGCTAAATATAGGCATTAGACTTGGCTTGGCTTACCTCAGGCTGGACCGGTACCAGTCAGCCGTGGCCTGTCTGTGGCAATCGTTTTGTCGGTCCGGAATCTTCCGGGCTTTCCTGGGACTTGCTGCAATTTTTGTGGACTCTGGGACTAGACTTTGGACTTTCCGGATTTTTCAGTGAGGTGCCGGACAGGCTGTTCAATGACTCAGCCCAATGAACTCCTGCTTCCAGCACTTCTTCTAAGTTTATTTTTGAGTATAAATGATTCATAAGTGAGCATTCTCAAAGATTAGAATCTTATTTTCAATCAGTGCCAGGACTTCAGATCGGACTTTACCATGGGTACCATACCCTCAACTCCACCCAGACTCTTCTGGATGTTTCCGGAATCGGGCGTATGACGTTTCGCTGGCCTACCACACCTATGACAACTTACTGGCCTATCAGACCTACCCTACGCGACGCTGGGATTGGGGACTTCGGACCTTTCTGGACTTGCGGGGATATGTGACCAACTTTCAAGGGTCTGCAGCGTGAAATCCTTTCACAACGATATAAACTGAGAATTAATCAGAGTGCACTGTACCCCCCCAGTGCCACCACTGTATATGGTTGGGCAGGGTAGCTCCCACACATCCTTCCATTAAGTGCGCACTTGCACCCAAAAGCAAACAAACTCACACTGGCTTTATCTTACATGTATCTGACCGCATTAACGGCAAGACCTGGATGCATCTGACCGCAAATACGTCCATAAAGAAGTCCTCGTGTGAGTATGCTGCAATGACCATTTTCTGGTCGCCTGTAGCCTCTCTCTGTCGAGGCTGTATCATAGGTAGGGTAGATTCATAATTTTGTTTGGCTGAGGGCTAACCAAGAGACCAACCTGTAGTGGAAATTCGTGAGGGAAATACCTGTAAATTTGGGAAAATACAGGCCTAACACTAACTGAATTTCCTACTGCTACCCTGACTGCGAATAGCAGGCCCGGGCTACCCCTAGGACAGACAGGCCCTAAGGGCCTATGCTGATAGATGGTCCTATATCCTATAGCCGGGTACGGTAGAGGCCGAAAGGCCGAAACTGATACAGTACCGGTCAGTCAGTCAGTCCGGTCTAGGTCGAGTCTAGGCTAGCTGTAGTCTATAGATAGAATGGGCACATCGGTTCAGGGCTTTTGGCAGTTGGTACCGAGTACATCGCTGCTGCGCTACGCGTGAACCGGAAGCGGTGACGGCTCAGCGTGGAAGGAGACAGGCATAGCCAGACCTTCGGAGCGCCAGCCATAGCTGGGACCTGTGCTGTACTCTGCCAGCACGTAGGGGCTGTCAGAGGTCTGGGCTATCGAGGTCTGCTGGAGTGTGTGGCGAGAGAAGTTGGTGCCCTGCTGGACCTTCCTCCGGAGTGGGGTTCCAGGGTGGTGGCGCTGCAGCCATAGCTGCAGCNGCTAGCTGTAGTCTATAGATAGAATGGGCACATCGGTTCAGGGCTTTTGGCAGTTGGTACCGAGTACATCGCTGCTGCGCTACGCGTGAACCGGAAGCGGTGACGGCTCAGCGTGGAAGGAGACAGGCATAGCCAGACCTTCGGAGCGCCAGCCATAGCTGGGACCTGTGCTGTACTCTGCCAGCACGTAGGGGCTGTCAGAGGTCTGGGCTATCGAGGTCTGCTGGAGTGTGTGGCGAGAGAAGTTGGTGCCCTGCTGGACCTTCCTCCGGAGTGGGGTTCCAGGGTGGTGGCGCTGCAGCCATAGCTGCAGCTTCTTCCTCAGAGGTCATCTTGTCAGGGTTTGGTGGCGCTGCTGCAGACTTCCACCTGGGAAGTCTTCCGACACTTCGTCATCATCAGATACTGTGGCGCTGGTCTTCTTCTTCATCCTCTGAGTGGCGCTTGGCCCCAGAGGCCTGTTTCAGGGTGGCGCTTCCCTTTGGAGGCTGTATCTGGGTGGCGCTTGATGTTTCAGGGGCTCAGGGATGTTACGCGTGAAGTGCTGCTCATTTCTGAGCAGCGCACTGTAGTACTGAGGTTATCCTGACAATTCGAGACTCTGAGTTTAATGAACAGTGTGTACCTGGGTTTGAACTATAATCGTTTCATTGTTTTCCTGGATGTGATCTGCTCGGCTTTTCTTTATGACTGGTGTGAGGATTGAGTGGAGTGAATTGCACTTTCAGTGTACCCTGTCATATCGCATGGTCAAGTCTTCCGCTGTGTTTATCAATCCCTGTGCGGTGTGATACTCCTATCCTCTCCCCTTCCTTCTGTGTATGTATGGGCATACCTGGAAGTCTGTGTGTGAGTGTTGGTGTCAGACAACAAACAACCAGAATCATAACAATGCCCTCAGTATCAACCTGCCCCCAGATAAACACAAATGTCCATCACAATTGGGAGATACATGCACCTTCTTTTTCTTCTCTTTGAAAGTCCAGGTTGTTGTAGAGGTTCGAAGCCAGACTATGACAGTCACCTTCCGGAGTCAGCCATCCAGATGGACCTTAACCGCCGACTTTTCTACGGCAAAATGAATTCCATTATTGGTAAACCTCACGGGCATGACCTGAACACAGCAAAGGAATGCTCCACCCCATGAGATATTCATAACCTCAAGGAGCTCCACAGAAACCCCCGCATGGCACCCCTGACCACCCTATTCCATGTGCTCTGAATCAAAGGCAGTCCATGGCAGAGCTGCACCACAACTGCTACCACCAACACCATCACGAAGACCCAGGCTCCATGACCTGTTCTTTTTTTCTTTTCTTCTGTTCTTTTTTTCTTTTCTTCTTTTTTTGGTTCCCGATGGACCACCAGGCTCCATGACCTTTTCTTTTTTTCTTTTTTGGTTCCCGATGGACCACGAATCACATATTATAGACTAATCAGAACAGATATACTACACTTGATCTCAGCCAAAGGGCCGAGAAAGGTATACCAGGCTCCATTACTTACAATGGTACAAAACCAGAAAAGTAAGCACCTTGCGCTCAGTCTGTGTGCTCAGCAAGGCACAGCACACGAGCATCTAACCGACAGCAAGAGCTCACTAAACCCAACTACAAACAGCATTCCCTCACGACACCAGGGGTGCCACTGATTAACAGTCCCTGCGTCAGCATTCCCTCATGACACCAGGGGTGCCACTGATTAACAGACCCTGCGTCACTCACAGTCTGCCCCCAAACGGACAACCCGTGTGAATCTTACCCCACAAAAAACATTTTCTGAGCCTGTGTTCACCAGGATTCCATCACAGAACGGAAGAAACACACTTAGCACTTCACCGTCCATCATGAAACAACAAGGACAAATATACTGGCTACCAACTTGCCCAAGGAAAGAAGTCAGCCCATGTATATCCACTGGCTACCAACTTCCACAAGGAAAGAAGACTGCCCACATATACCCACTATTATAACCAGCCAATGAGAAAAACTAATCTCCTGAAAGTGTTGTGTGTGTGTCCCAATCAGCTGTGTGAGGGTGGAAGAGTGTATTAGCATTGAATTAAAAAAAAAAAAAAAAAAAAAAAAAAGAGTAAAAACATAAATATCTCGAGACAAAAAGCGTAGCTGTTCCCTGGGATTGGATTTCAGTTTTTCTTATGCAGCTAAGGTGGAAGGCTCACGTGGGCTCCTTTATGGTATGTGGAAAGTTGCTTAGGGAAAATCATAGACTGATATTCTTTTTGTAGCTTACCAATAGCAATATTTCTTTCCAACTGAGAACCCAAGAAGCCTTGAGCAAAAAGAGATGCAGAGAGAGAGAGAGAGAGAGAGAGAGAGAGAGAGAGAGAGAGAGAGAGAGAGNAGAGAGAGAGAGAGAGAGAGAGAGAGAGAGAGAGAGAGAGAGAGAGAGAGAGAGAGAAGAGGAAGGGGGGGGAGGGGGATGGGAGGGGTTGAGGCATACCCCAAGCATAACGAAGTCGAAACAAGCTGGGACTTTGTCACCCATCCTCTGGATCTTCTGCCGGACATCTGCAAAAGTTGCATTTTTGTTCACATCCAGACTGCAAATCACGGGCTGATTCCGGCCCTCCACCTTCACGTAAACCTTACAACGCTCAGTCCCTCCTCCAGACGGCCTCGCAGCAACATTTCCTGGGAAATCAAGCACAAAGTCTTCTGTAGGAAGGTCATGAAAAGAAATTGGAGGAACAAGTGACGGCTCTCGCCAGTCTGCTGATGAACTTTTTCCACGCATATACTTCCCACTGTTGCTTGCTGTATGACCACTGCCAGGAATCCAACCATCCCCCTTCCTTTCCCGATTCATTCCCATTTCGTTCTCCTTGCTTGCACTGCCAGAAAGCTGGAGATCTCCTCTTAGCACAACCGATCCCATTGAGGCTCGTCGCATCTTCCTGGACACTCCTGTTGATGGACGATTCTCGTTTCCCCAAACTGTGGCAAATGCATCACCAAAATCTTGACTAGCAAGACAACCGGAATCGGAGTGGGTGCTGCTCTGCGATGACGGAGTCCGGCGATGCGCCACGAAACTCCCTTTCTCCTCAGACGATGACCAGCCAGGAGAGCTTGTCAAACCCCAGTTTCCAAGGCTGCCACTCCGCAGCCCTCCACTGAGGACACCACAATCAGAATGCCTTCGATCGTGGTTACTCAGGTGTGCCTTCACAAGTTGTGCCATCTGCTCCTTCGTAGGGATGGATCTGGAAGTAGCTGGGACAGCCGTCGATCCCCTGGCCGTTGCAGGTCGCCGTCCACCTCTTGCAGAATACCTCATTCCCATAGTGAAAGAGGAAACAGAGGAAGTTGGCGTCACGGTACTGCTTGCGAATGACTCCGTACTTGGGGACCCTGGATCCATTCCCAGGCGCCATTTCGGAGATTCTGCAATCTGCAGAGGAGACATGCGCTCTGATGGCGCGTGCTCGCTTGAAGGCAGCTCTGATGGCGCGTGCTCGCTTGAAGGCACCACCTCTTTTGCAAGAGGGATTGTAAAGGAACTAGCAGTACCATTGTTTGAGGATGGTGACACACATGGAACTCCTTTCGAAGAGGTGGCGGTGGCATTGGCATCAACGAGCCAGGCGGTGCTATCTATGGATGATCGTAAGGACTGACCATTCCGGCGCATTTCTGACTTGCTCCTGCAATGAAAACTTGGTCCCAACGATAAATTGGGAGGGTCCTTGATAGCACACCACCCTTGACAAGTATAGGAAGTGCAGAAGTGGAAGGAACAAAGGCGGGGAGCTTCGTTAAGTCAGCACAATTGACCACCAAGCATGTGTGCAGGGGAAGGGAAGGAGTGGGTGGGTCCACCAGCCGAACAAAGGGAAAGAGAGAGGCAGAGCAAAAGTGGGTGCAAGAGACAAGGGGAAAGGGGGTCACGGGAGGGGGGATAGCCTGTCAGTTCCATGACAAGACAATCAAACGCGTTTGTGCAGAGCAGGCACCCATCGAAACAATCTCCAGACGGCCCACTCTACAGGCCTGGACTTTGTATCCCCAACCTTCCACCGACACACAAGCCCCCAAAACAAGAGAACGGTGGCCAGGAAAGCAAAGAGGAGCCTGTGAAAAAAGGATGAAAACCTGCACCATCCCTGCACAGAATCTTCAAGGCGGCACACTCAACAATCAGTACAGAGGAGGCCCATACATCATATCCAAAATGATATTCACAGCTGCTATACCACAGTTTTCGTCCCAAGTAAGACCAAAGCTCCTCCAGAAGCCATGCCCGCCCCCTCGTACTCTCTCGTTTGTACCCTTTGCTCCCCGCAACCCCCCCCCCCCCCTCCCGCTTCCCACTTGAGAGCAAGATAGCAGAAGATGGAGGGCAAGGAAAGAAATCACTAAGGTTCCATTCATTCCCACACTGTAAAGGTGAATATCAACTTTTGAAGTTCTGAAAAAAGAAAATGGAACAGCAAAAGAAACAAAAAGGACACACTGAACGAGCGGGCATACAACCTCCGCACATAAGTGTCATTTAGTGCCCACGAGTTCACACGTCAAAATTTGAAAGCGTGATACCCTGAACTTTCTTGGAATATCTGAATCTATCAAACACCACTTGGCCCACTCCCAAAGAATTCAGCATCCTAACCCACATTGTTCAATGAGTGGTATTTCTGAGCAGCTACAGAAAAAGGGAAGTGCCCATAGAAAAATGGACGAACAAGTAGAAACAAAAAGAAAAAGACGGTAAATACTTGGCAGAGCCAGAGATATGATGACAGAGTGACAAAGAAGAAGAAAAGGACCGGCGGCAGGCAGGCCGTTTCAAACACACCCGCACCCACAGTCAATATGACAATAAAAAGAAGAGTCAGAAGACGACATATTGCAAGGAAAATCATCCGAAAATGATTGATAGCGAAATGACAGAATTCCAGCATGCAATTTCACATTGAAAGTCCAACACTGTTCCACCAACGGAGAACCAAAGCACTGAATCCGAACGAATCCGAACATCAATGAGCATAATCTCGCCACCACCAACATATGTATCCAGAGCCCTTCCTCCTACTTGGTGCTCAGCGCCCAGACAACTTCTACACAGCTTCTAGCAGCCTACAAATTGACAATGCATCCCGTTGACGTCAGCAGCAACAACCGCAGTGCATGAAGATGTCAACCTTGTAGACCACCGCCAAGACCAGGTACCTGCCCTCACATCATCAACCTCGTCTCTCTCTCTCTCTCTCTCTCTCTCTCCCTGCATCTTCATCACCTACGTTCTCGTCCCATACACGAAGACCACCACCACCCGCTGACTGTATCCAAGCCCCTGCCTGGCTATGACGACTGGGTTATGGCGCTGCCCTCAGCAGCGTCCTGCGTCCTCTCAACGCCCGCGCGCGCCCGCACCTCACACTAGCCCAGCAGCCCGCGAGTCTAAGCTCCAGCAGCGCTGCCACCCGCAAGTGCAAGTGCCCGAATCCCCCGCTCTGCACCCTGCACTTTCTTATATGGAAAGAGGTGGGCGCTTGCCTTTGCTATGCCCACATGAGACCGAGTTTCCAGTAGCTTCGGTCTCGGCCAAAGTCTGCGCCCAGGCCCAATTCAGACACTGGCCTAGGACCGAACTGGTTAGGCATACCCAACCGCCCAGGCACAAACGTGCAATGCTCCCTGCTTCAACCACGTTGCTGGAAGAGCCTGGAAGTTCACAAATATTTGGATTCGCACAAGCAAGACGGATTGTAACCAACTGGCGGGTGGCAACTGTCTGGCGCCAACCAAGATTTGCAAAAAATTGACGAGTTCAAAGCACATTGAGATTCAGGGGGCCCGCCTTCACTTAGGGCGGGCACGCGCCTGCTGCAAGGCCCTATGCCGAGGCATAAACCCTCGCACTAACATATCACCTTGCAAAATCAATTATGCAAGTCTGATGTTGACCGGTTCCGAGACCGGTTGCAGAATTTTAGTAATGTTTTGGTGATGGGTTGAACTTGAAAGGCAGTTGTTGTCAAGTTGCAGTTAACCTTCTCCTGATGGGTTGAGCTCTTTCTCTTTTTTTTTTTTAACTAAGCTGTATTCTTCTCTCAATTTCACATTTCGCTAGACAGTTGTTGTCATGCTCTCAATTTCACCGTTCACTAGACTTGTTGTCATGTTTTAATTAGCATCCAAAGACTGCACAAGCCTCAGGATTGGTGGCCAATACATTTGAGCAGCAAACGAAATACCTACAAACAACACTTCGTTTTTAAGACCCTACTAGGACTCTAATGGGATCTAAAATCCCACGCATAACCACAACCCTGCTAGTACTCTAATGGGATCTGAAATCCCACACAACCACTACCTACAAACCACACATTTTGTTTTTAAGACCGTACTAGTGCTCTTGAGGGATCTACATTCTGCACCGGAAGTTTTGGAGTGCAGCAACAGGGTCGGAACATGTTTGCTGGAGCTCATTACAGGCTGGACACAGATCTGTTTTTGAGAGGACGTGTGATGCACGCATTTCCTCAACACTTCGTTTTGAACAATCCAGTAGAGATGTCCGAATTGCTGCAGTTTGTGCCTGGAGGCTCACAAGACCGTTTTCCTTCTGCATGGACGCCTCGAGTGACTATCTGGCCTCCCCCAATGCACCTTTGTTGGCAACAAATAGGGGGTATTAGTCGTTCACGGCAAGATGAATCGCCGTCTGCAGTTACTCTGGAGAATGCTGACCAGACTTCCCAGTCGGTCTCTACCATTCCTCTAACAGAAAGATATACCTGTGATGACTCCGAAGTACCCCAAGTCTCCCAAGATGACGAGGGGCCAAGCAACTATGTCAATATGAGCTCTTGGGAGAAACGCTCAGTGTGGTCGGTCGCTTCAGAAGAGAGTGCACGTTCTGACTCGTTCAATTAGACAGTCTCACAGCTGAGACCTTCCACCTGACATGAAACTCTTGAGAACTTCCATCGCCTGCCACATCCAGAGCCTGCACACCCAGAGCCTGCACTCAGACACGAAGCAAATCGCACATCTGAATTCTAGTTACTCTCAACTGCCCGGTCACTCTCTACCATTCCTCTAACAGAAAGGTATACCTGTGATGACCCCGAAGAACGCACATTCTGACTCATTCAGCTAGGTAAGTCCCGGAGTGGATACGCATCCTGCGCAGGGGGCCGCTGCTAAAGGAGGGGGATTGGTGGCGGTTCCTGGGGATCCGGAGAGTGTGGGCAGCGTGGTAGAGCTGCGTTCTGATGAAACATTGGTCACCCTCTTCCACATAGACAGGTACAACAGTCTCATTCGATACAGCCCAGAAGCAACAAGATGGCTGCGTAACATGGAACTGCTCAGGGTTCACGTGTTCTCGGAAAAAGACAAGTGGATTGCGTTTCAGCCAAAGACCCCTGTGACAGATCTCCCTTTTGACCCCGTGGAATGGCAGTGGGCCTCGCCGCGTAAATCCAGACGGGGGAGAATCGGCAGCTGTCTTCCTTAACAGTGAAGGCCACATACCGCTTGCTGCGACCGAAGGTGAACATAAAAGAAACCTTGAAAGCTCGGTGGAGGTCTCACCTGAATGAAGGAACGGATGCAATCCGCCCCATCCGATGGTCCACCGCTACAAGATCTAGGCCAGCAAAAATGGCCTCACTGCAATGGCAGATCGAGCACCGCTGCCTGCCCACGAATAATTGGCTCATAGAACGCACGCAGATGGAACAGAAGGGGCAGGCACTGCCGTGGTGCAAATCGTGCCACACTGCTTTCCCTTCCCGCAAAATCCCGGAAACTATCGAGCACATCTTTATGCAGTGCCCAGGGGCGGTTCTCACGTGGCGATGGTGGGACAGAATCTGGACCTTGCTGGCTACGGACTCCAACTGGCCATGGGATTGGAGGGCCATACTATGTGAAGCATGGTCCTTCCCCACTGAACACTTTTGAGAACAACATGTTCAAGACAGGAAGAAGGGCGGTGGTGTGGGCCCTCTGGAGAAAACGGTGTATCGACGTCATGGAGGATGTCCGCATAGAGGGGGAAGAGGTTACAGATATGATAAAGCAATATATCGAGCAAGAACTCACGGTACCGTGGCAGAAAGCTAAAAATCAACTTGACCTGTTCCAAACAAACACGTGGATTACACCAATTCTCTGGGGACTGGTTGGGCAGCGTGGAAGGGGGAAGGATCGCAGGTATAAGTTGGGACGGAAAGCCCACCCAGGCGTGCAACCCGGGGGATTTCAAGAGAGACTACCGGATTTGCTTTAAGGACTGGACTACTGTTGGCCAGGCGATTCCACTGTGACCGGCATCAGACTTTCCCGACCCTTTCCCACCTCACAACCTGGCTATGGTAGACGTGCAATGGTACGGAGCGGACTGAATTGGCAATGGGCGGAGGCACAGAGCAGGTTGGTAGCAGCTAGCAGGGACAAGGTTGGGCAGACATTGGGCAGGCCTGTCAGGATAGCAACCCGTGGAGGGTTTGTTTAGTGACAGGCCCTAGTATCAGTCAGGAAGGATTATCTGTTCTTCCGCCACTCATTGTAAGTTTTTGGCTTAAGAGGGATGCTGGACCCGGGGGAGACATGCAATAGGATAAGAGTGGGCCAGCAGCATCAACAGAAGGAAGTCTCAAATAGGGGGTCAGAATTTGGAAATGGGGGGAACCAGGAAGAGACAGCAGATATCTGGCGCCAGTTTCAGGGTGAAGAGGCCCCCTCCTTCC